ATTATAAAGTGTTACATTTTGAAAATAATACATAGTCCCTATTTGTATTACTTTCTATGTTTATTTTATAAACAGAACATGAAGAAATATCTTCTAACTCTTCAGAGGAGGACGAGAACGACAGCGATGGGTTAGCTGAGGATTTTACAAATTTTCACGTAGAAGTTGACGAAAGCGACGAAGAGAGTTCGGTAGTATTATATATTTGCCTAATGACTTTCAAACAAAAAAGTAATCTTGTTTACAAAATCGGGAAATTGCGACTTACACTTATTCTTTACCATACACATGAACACCATTCCCCAAGAACACACCACACACATACAAAACACAACAAAAAGACTACATCAAACCCACAACACTTTTTTCACCTCGTTAAAGCATACCACCTTGCGCGGTTTAACAAAATGAACGAAAACCTGAAGCAAATCCCAAACAACCTGAACCACCCCACAAACCACACTATGCCCTACAATATACAATAAAACCAACATAATTCTACAGCCCACACCCAACCCCTTTATCACAAGATCAACACCCAATAATTTACCCCACACCATTCCCAATAAACAAGAGTATACTGCACCACGAAGATCCACCTCAAAACACACGCGCCACACCACAAACCACACCACTCTAAACGCAGCTCTCTCGATATTTCAAACAGCACTCTAAACCAAATCCAACACCGCCCCACCCACACTCTATTCTCCCAGCCACCCCTCACCATTCCACAAATCGCTAGCAACTCGACACCAGTTTACCCCAAGATTCACACACAATCATTTATCTTGCACCATACAGAATACTTATCACGTCCCCACCCTGCACCAGCACACAATCACCACACACATGGAGTTGACTAAACACCACACTACTCCAACCCACGACCAGTAGTGGACTGGGCAGTCGAGACACCGGGAAATCAAGTTAGACCTCCGGGAAAATATACCTTTGAGCCAAAAAGTTCAGGGCTATAATAGGACTATTACTGCTTTTAGTTTTTTTTTTAAATTCTTATGTAATTGAACAGTATTGTACCAATTTATCTTATCCCACTCATAACTTTAAAAGAATCCTACTTTAATTAATCTTTCTTATAAAAATCTTACTGAAATTACAGGCTCTATTCACGGCGACATAAAAAACGATTCAATAATATTTAGTAAACAATGCAGCTCTGTTGGGTTACTTTTAATCATGTCGAATTGTAAAAGTACTTACCTAAACTAAATCTAATCTTAGTATCAAACCCTAATTAGCTGACATTGCCTCTACCAAACCAATACATTTATTTTCAAATAATTCAACAACCAGATTGTATATTTTATTTGAATATTTATTTAAAGAGTGATGACACAGAACCTGATTATAACACAGATAATGAGACTGCGCCAAACGCCAACGTAACCGATTTGCCACAAACAGAAGGTCCAAATCAAGACTTAAATAACCCACCGTTTGATGGGGCGTCGGCTTGTACTGAAGGTAAAGTTAATAATATCAACGTAATTAAGCAATACATAATTATTTTAATTTAACCGAATTATCCTGATATGTAAAAGCTCTCTCTTTATCTCTCTCTCTCTCTCTCTCTGTCCGCATGTCCCTAGCCTAAGAGATCAGTATCTTCAGCAATATATGGAGAATTTAAAGATACGGACTTTTGTTGAAAATAATATTGTGGTTGTTCTAAATACATAATTATATGTTGTTTAAAGAAAAAATAAATAAAAATTAAAGCAATATTCGAATGTAGAAACGCACTGTTAATTATGCAACCTGAAAAGTGTTTATGGTTGTGACAAGAATGCATTAAACAATGACGCCACATGCCACATGTTTAAACTACGGAAAGAACACAACACTAATGGCGTCACCTTCTAATTATAGGATATAAAGAAATAAACTATTTCATTCAAATTTGAGCAATCGGTGTTCAGATAATCGCGTTTGCACTAAAAGTCATTTGGCAAGTCGTTCATTTGGGCTACAAGTCATTCGGATTAATAGCGTTCGGACATTGGGCGTTTGACAATCAGTTATTATAATTAGTAATAAAGTAATCATTAAGTTCATTGATTTTGCTAAATACTATGTAATGTTGTTAACGTTATGTGAATGGATTTTAAAATTTTCGTAATGGGAAACTCAGAGCATATTTACTGCTTGCTTGAACAATTTAATGGCAACATAATAATGTTTTGTTTATTTAAACAAATTGAGATGTGCAATTTCTGCATCAAATATGTGTTTAATTTCAGACCAAGTAAAGCCAATTCATGGCAGCTTACAAGAATTACACGAGAATATTCTTCAAAGAAATTATAAATATTTAATAAAGGAGATTGATGGAAAGTCGATAACAGCTCATCTGTTTTCGAAAAAAATTATAGATCTGGAGACGATGAGAGATGTGAATAGTAAACGTACTCAACATAAGCGAACTACTAAACTTCTAGATATTTTATTCCACTCTGGTCCAAAAAGAGCATTCCCTGAATTTATCAATAGCTTAGAAGACGATTATCCACAAGTAGCCGAGCATTTAAAAAAACAACTCGAACAAAAATAACTTATTTTCCATGCTCCGCATTTTTTTTTCTTCCTTTGAATACACAAATCATTTTACAATATCTGAATGATAATCTATAGATGAATTCATAACAACAATGGCAATATGTTTTTTACAAATATTTACAACATGAGTAGTTATCTAACGCTGAAATTATTTCATCCATTTACAATCAGCAATGTTTCAATTGGTTATTTTGTCTAATTGATGTAGGCCATTCACTACTTTCTTATATTGTATTTGTTTTCGTAAGCTAAGCTTAGCAGTTTATCTCTTGCTAGGGATATATTTATGTTCATCTTACTGAAAATTACATTAAAATTTCAAAAGTGACCATAACATGAGGAATAATTCAAAACATGTTTTACACTAATCTTACCTCTAATTTTAATGACATCACAAAGTTCCCCGATATTTTGGACAAATTTAGATTTACGATTGTCAGTGAAACTACCATGGACGACAGTTTCTAGAATTGATATTTAGTTTCTCCTACAATTAATTTTTATTAAGGCATAATATAAATATGGGCAAATTTAGACAAAAGTCTCTAGTTTGAACCCTTGGGCTGATGAGGCTCAATAGCTGGGAACAGCCACTCTTCTAGGAGAGACACATCCAAAATCAAACAGCTGCTGCCTCTTAGTTTGTTCTTGGTTGGACAAAGGCTATGGTAGCTAATTCAAATGAAAAGCAGCAGGCTAGTATCGGAATCAACGGACAACATGGTGCATAACAAATTGACAACACGAATAGTCCTACTTAATTGTGTTGGAGGTAATAAGGAGAAGAGGAGGTGTTTAATTAGTTCAATATTTATGACGTAGTTTCCAATGATATAATAGAAACAAAAGTTGTAAATACATAACTATAATGTTGTTATAACTGATTTTATTATTGACAATATATATTTTGCTGAAGTATTGCATATTAGATTGTTATTATAATTTGCATCCGTAAAATTTTTTTAACATATCTTATCTGACTGTATTATTTAATTTCCTCAAATATTACTCAATTAAATGCAAAATGTTCTACAGATCATATTCCCATTATACTTGCGATTTTTCCACAATTGCAGTTTAAATAAAAAAGACGTTAAAAGCTTGTATATGTATAGATAAATAGCTTCTTTATTTAACTTTGTATTTAATGTAATTGCTTGCAATGGTGCAGGTTCATTGGGATTATAACCCCTAAGACACCCTTCTGCCTACATCACACGTTTATAAATTTACTATAGTAGCTAAAGTTCCTGTAACGCTCTCTAACTCTAGCATTAGCGTGTCACTGAATTACTTACAGCAGACAAAAACATTTTTAAAAATTATGAGTGAATTAACCACTCTATTAGTTCCAAACAACATTTCGATGTTGTCAGTAAGACAATTCTCTATATAGTTAGTAGAACGTACGAATGTCGCAAAAAGACTCCAATACTTTACTTTCCCATAAAAATAGTTTTAGGACATCAGTCTTATTTATAGTTAAAGTTGCGATTACAATGGGACGACATGATCTGAAGGCAGAACTCGGACTTGTTACCCCACATGTAACGCATTAGGAGATATGCATTGCGATCGTAGCTTGTTGCCCTAGTAGATTTATCAGGGAGGAATCTGAAACCTGGCGGCAACTTACATGCCCAGAGTCTGGTAACACAGGTGAGGTGATTGCTCGATGTTAACGCTGCTCATTGTTTAAGAGCAATCGGTAATTACAGTCCACACTAGAGAAATAGAGAGAGAGAGAGAGAGAGAGAGAGAGAGAGAGAGAAGGAAAAGCTTTGAAAAATGTGTAGATTTGGTGTAGACCGCTATAAGGATATTTAGAATTTAAAAAGGTACATTTTCTCCATCGTGTTGCTGGGGGTTAGGAATAGCGCGTAGTAATAAAATCTAGAAACACACATTTAATAAGTAATTAAATAAAACTTAACAAATAACAGATATGTAACACAAGCGCATGGACGGCATTTGTTTAGTGCCTAAAAACATGCAGCTAAGACACCTATACTTGCCTAACGGTATTTACCTAAACACCATGTATCTAATTGGATCATGAATGAACTATTTATTTCTTCAAAAGGGATTTTACATGTGTCATTTAATCACCTGTGTAAAGCTTTGCTTGTATTTACTTTTATACCTTGTTATTCTAAAACATGTTTGTTTATATTTGACAGCTTTTTTTTTATACCAATTGACACCTGGTTTGATAATTTATGTTCTCCCAATCTTGATCACCTATATGCAGAAAGAAGTTGTTTATTGGTGTAATGTTGAATACATTTTCGCCATGGATGAATAAGTTTGAAGAGGATGTTAATCAAGTCGTAAGTTATGGGATCGGATGTAATCATTTGTACCAGGAAGTACTACGAACAACTTGGGGAATCAATTATTAAAGACTGAAAGTTGACGAATTCAAACTAACATGAGGATATTTTACATAATTTTATAACAATTTAATCGCATTTTTTGAGTTTGTTTGCTTGAACATTTTAGTACAATGTAAACATAAATGCAACACATAAATATTGGAAAGTGGAAACACAAGCACAAGCTAAAATCAAGGGAATTGTTTTTAAAAAAACACTCAAAAATATACATGAAAAACGCACTGAAAAAAAAATCCCACTTAAACTGTAGTGTGTCAGATCCGTTTTCACCATCGCTGGTAAAAAACGAGACTTTACTCCTTCAAATTTTTGTTTATTTTTAAGTAGTGGTTTGTCTGACTAGTACTTAATTAAAAAAAAACATTTAACATTATTTTATGTCGAACACAACATATTCTGTCAGATTTTCATGCTATAAATACAATATATATTTTCACAGCTTTAGACAGTCATGTTTAAGTTACAACTTTGGTAGATATAATTTTTTTGGCATATGCCGAGACCGTAGGATAGGAAACTCTCCACCTAGTTCCATCCAGTTAATAGAGGCATGTTTCGAAATATTATTTCAAACAATATTTAAGACGATTTAATGCTGCTAAAAACAAATTATTTAACTTAAAACTCTCAACAACTGTATACATACATATACTATTTTATGCCGTGTAAATGCCATACTTTTATAACCTATTGCATAAAGACCTCTTGACTTATCGTTGACTAGATGAACGCTCGTCTAAACCAACTCGTCTTTTTTTCACAATGTCCGATATAACAATTAATTCTGCTGATTACAGGCGTTTCGACATAACTCTAAGATAATCTTGACATCTGTATGGTGGACCCGCTGTTAAAGTTGTTTTATCAAGCCCGGATGTCATATTTTCCAGTGCATCTACAGCTGCCTTTTAAGGTGTATAAATCTTATTTGTAAAATCGTAAGAATGAGAGCAGAAAATAATTTCTTAATTAATCAGTTATTTTGTTTGTTACAAAAAAATATACGATTTCTTGCCAACATATTTTAAAATATTAAATATCTGTACTGGTTTTACTGTCACTTTCACTGTCACTGCCACTAACACTTTCATTTATAACATGAATATTATCTTCAATACTACCTGACAATAAAGATCTAGAACCTGGATTTAAGAGCATTTTATTATCAGCATTCACGTTGAACAAGGTATCCATTGACGTGGTAGAAACATTCTCTAAAGATGTCATACTGCTGTTCATAACGCTAAGCTGGTGCTACACATTAGGATCAGACATGTGTTGATATTATAATATATGTCGAAAACAAATGTTTATTTTATTAATATTTATGTTTCAACTGTAATAAAACAATATCATAATATAAGGAAAATCGGAATACATTTAGATGCGTTTTGAAATTTTATTTAAGCTTATGTTTGTTTAGCATGTGCATTATGCATTCAAATATGTTTATCACTTTGTGTGTGCAGTTTCTATTATGTAAGTATTCATAATGAAGATTCGTTTTTTTAAAACTCAAATGTTTTATAGCTTCCTGCTGAATCTGCATTTATTAGGCTTGAATATATCAGGTGTATTGTGAAAAGGGTGTAATTAGCTATAAACATACTTCAAATAAAATGCACATTCAAAAGTCTGATTAGTGCCCTTTGTGTTTGTATCGAGGAAATCGATTTACATATTTTCACGTCACATTATTACTTATAAAATTATCTTATGTTAAAAGATCAACAATTTAATTACCTCTTCTCTATTTAGACGGCCCAATGTGAACGCAAAGTAACTGAAATATCTGCAAACAAAAGTATGTTTAAATGTAAAAAATGGCTATATAATTTTATATTTTTATAAACATAGCTAGATACAAATGTGTACACGCTAAAATGCATATAATTATGTTTACCTTGATATGATTATAACTGATATCAGGAAAAAAGCATTGCCGATTCCTAATATGATTGCATGTTTTTTATAGACATCTAAAAAATAAAGTTTATTAAAAAACACTTAGCTTTAATGCTTAGTTGAATGTAAATAAATACTGTTTAGAAAAAAAATTCCATGTAAATATATAATGCCATCTTTATTTGCTTTTAAATTTACATTTCACTTTAAAATAAAGCTTCAATTAGAATTTTTTAAATCCAATAATTATATTAAAAAATCGCTACTTACCGCCGTGAATAATGATAATGGGACCAAAGACATCAGATACGTTTTTCTGACCAACAGCTTCTATGCAGACAAACTTAGAGTCTTTTGGTATTTCAGTATGCACATCATCAAATATCTTGTTGCTGAGGTTAGCAATAATGTGCCCTGAATTATCATAAACAATCAAAATTATAATAATGATTTTTTAATAATTGGATTATTAATGAACAAAATTCGTCTAACACGTTTTGATTTTTGACTACTTTTATGAATTCATTTGTTCTGAATGGTAAGTGAAATTCACGTAAATGGAAAAAAGAATACTAGTTACAAGGTTTTACTATAAGGATTTTATGTTAATTTTAATGTTCAAAACCACATTTTTAAAAGTGTGCTGAATACAGCAATTATACATTGTAAAATATTGTTATTGATATTTCTTGTAAAGAAATCCATGTATATTTTTTTTCAAAATAGTATAATATATAGAACCTAGAAACCACTAGAGGTATTAATTGAATACTTTTACTTATAATATTTTCATGAAAAAAAAAACATTGATAGTTGTTTTTTTATCTGGTGATATTGTAAAAAAATATATTGCCAAGATACTTACTTTCGTTGTCACAATTAGGACTTGAGGTCGAAAATACTAAAAAATATTTAGCCATAAATTGGTTTGGGCGAAGTGAACATTCTTGTCTAAACGAAAGATGCACACTATTTAAGTCCCCAGAGTCGTCATATTGGGTGATGTTCAACTTGGCTCGTGCTAGGGGTGGTAATAATCAGGAATAAACGTTTCTATACTTGGGCTAAACACTAGTTTTAGCAAAATTTACAATTAAAGGGCTAAACGGAAAAAAATGCATACGTTTCTGTTTTCAATAAAGAGTTAAGACCTGAATTATATTTCATTACATCCCCTAAACTATCCCTGTAAGCTTGAGACATTAAAAAAATTTGTATGATTCTTAAGAGACATTTTTTTATAAATATCCAATGACGACGACTTACGTAAATAAAAATGTAGCACGTCACTGAAATATATTTCATTACATCCCCTAAACTATCCCTGTAAGCTTGAGACATTAAAATATTATTTATGATTATTAACAGACTTTTTTTTATAAATATCCAATGACGACTTACGTAAATAAAAATGTAGCGCGTCACTGAAATATATTTCATTACATCCCCTAAACTATCCCTGTAAGCTTGAGACATTAAAAAAAATTATGATTATTAACAGACTTTTTTTTATAAATATCCAATGACGACGACTTACGTAAATAAAAATGTAGCCCGTCACTGAAATATATTTCATTACATCCCCTAAACTATCCCTGTAAGCTTGAGACATTAAAAAAATTATGATTATTAACAGACTTTTTTTTATAAATATCCAATGACGACTTGCGTAAATAAAAATGTAGCGCGTCACTGAAATATATTTCATTACATCCCTTAAACTATCCCTGTAAGCTTGAGACATTAAAAAAAAATTATGATTATTAACAGATTTTTTTATAAATATCCAATGACGACTTACGTAAATAAAAATGTAGCGCGTCACTAAAATATATTTCATTACATTCCCTAAACTATCCCTGTAAGCTTGAGACATTAAAAAAAATTATGATTATTAACAGACTTTTTTTTATAAATATCCAATGACAACTTACGTAAATTAAAATGTAGCACGTCACTGAAATATATTTCATTACATCCCCTAAACTATCCCTGTTAGACATTAAAAAAAATTATGATTATTAACAGACTTTTTTTTATAAATATCCAATGACGACGACTTACGTAAATAAAAATGTAGCACGTCACTGAAATAGCAGCTTATCGGAACCATCCCTGTCCAGGCACCATCCTCCATCACTGACATAAACACTTTTTTATCTTTCACTTCTTCGTAAGTCACGATTTTGCGATATTCTCCACCCTCCACGATAGCCAATGAGGTCTCTAGATTTTTATTTAGTAAGGTTTCGTAGCTTACATTATCAGGACGGTATAAAGTTAGGAAAGATGTTACTATGTTTAAAATATTCTCTGAATTATTCAGGTTTTGTAAGTGAGTATACTCGATCTCATTGCTGGAATTAGTGTTTGATATTTTAAATCGGCTTAGATATGGAACAAAGAACTCCAGGATGTCTCCATCTTTTAAAACAGCATCAACCGTATCCACAACTTGTGTAGCGAGAACTTCCTGTAAAATGAGAACCAAGGTTTGTAGAACAAGATATTGGCAGCAAATGTATGATGATGCTAGACGTTTAATGACGGACTGATACTTGACGTTACTTAGTTATATTATCTCACGTCGTAATTTTTTATACAGCTAAAATTTCAAGTTATAAGCGGTAATAGACGTAAGTTACGGAGAGGATGGGGCAAGACATTTATACACAATATATTATGTTTAAAGGCTTAGACTTCATGTTGATTCCGAGGCCCGCCAATAATAGTAATATAAAAATAGTAAGAACAGAATAGATGCATACATATTATATTACAGCATAGCTAAAGATGTTCCCCTTTGTATTTTTGGAAAACATTTTGAAGGTTTTGAGTGTGTGTGGGGATGAGGCTAAACACACTACACACTGTTAAAAGTATATACTTTTCTATATAAATTCCATTTCGTTCGATGAGATGCCTGGAAGAAACACTGAAAGACACTCATTTGTGCACCATTTAATATTCGTAAATTTATTTCTAGTTTATTTTACATTAGAGTAAATAGTTTAGAATCACCTACGAAGCAAAGATCACGAGTAGAAGCAATTCCCCCTCCACACACTTGAAACGCTATTTTTTCAACACCAAAGACAGAGTGTGAATTGACATATATTTTAACATCTCCTTCCTTGGTGAATTCAGCATATGCCTTGGACTTGTGTGGCTCTAAAATTATACACAATTGATACAAACTTAGATAAAGAACATTAAAAGCAACATATAACATATCTACATTACAATCTTTTATTTTAAATTGTTACCTTTCTTTTTGATGAATATTTCAGAATAGTTTGTTGAGGTACCGTATTCATTTGCAGCCCAAATTTTTACATTCACTTCATTTGAGTTTGTAACGTCTTCAATAAGAACATAACTCACTGTTACATTTGTTTTGTATTGCCAGTTTCCGGAGGAGACTTCTATGATATAAATTAAATAGTCGCTCTCATGTAACTCTCGCGACAAAGGCTGGAGATATGAAAGTAGTTTTACATTACTTTATGTGTAAATTAACTAGAGAGTGATACTTATTCCACGTAATAATTTTACATAATTAGCATGGAAAATTTAACGTAACTATAATAAAATAATTTAACATAAGTAAAGTACATTTTGAAGTTGATGGTCCATAGGGCAGGTAAAATAAAGTCCACCTATTTCTATAACCTCGGCGTGTGCAGGGATCGTCTAGTCAGTATAATGCCTTTACTTAGCCTAACGTGAGTCAGGGATCCGAACTTGAAAACTTCGGATTAGGGGTTGTCCATAAATGACGTCGCACTCGTAGGGTGTAATTTTGTGACGGTCTGTGATGACGGAGAGGGGAGGGGGGGGGGGGGGTTCTGATGGTGTGACGTCACACTTTTTGCATTTTAAAAAGCAGTGTTAGAAAATTATTTAAAAAGCTTGACGTCATTTATGGATGACCCCTTAGCAGTCATACGCTTTAAAATTCGAGCACGAAGTCCTTAACTGTTTGTGGTGATAATTAAATACTTAAACAATAATAGCTACCTTCCATGTGACACAGATTACGGGATGATCTGTTACATCGTCTGGTCGGATTACAGAAAAACTGAAGTCGTCTACATCGGGTGGTCGTGCTGGGACTTGAAAAACAAATTAATATTTCCACCATAGATCATGTATTAGAGACCATTTTTTAAAGAAACGTTTTATTCAGATACATAATAATTGAGATAACAAATGCTTTTAAAAGTAAAAGTTTGCTGAAGATTCTATTTATATAATTTTATTCGATTTTGAAAACTAAATATAAGTTGTAAAATAGGATGTTAGTTTAAAAAATAAATTACATATTTATATTTGAAATGGATTTAATGATTAACGTTCTATTTGTTTTCATGCGTGAAGAAATATTTTAATTTATTATAGCCAATAAATCCCTTACTTCGTTTCGTTGCAAAAAGGCCAAAAAAGGATGCACATTTCACTTTTTTATAAACCTAAAAGGAAACAAATTTTTAAAAAGTAGGTTTTTAGGTCACTCGTGTGGGTTTGCATTTCATTTTTCACACTTTCACTAGTCTACAAGGGAATCAATCATTTTCTCTTTTCTAGTGCATTATTACATAACAGCTTGTATTTTAAACTTTTTTATGCATTTTTTTTCATACTGTCACTTTGCTTAGAAGTGATGGCTATTGAAAAATCTCACGAGCTGCCGTATTGAAAACAAAACCTATTAAGCAGTAGCGTACGCAGGGGGGGGGGGGGGGAGCAGGGGGAGCGGCCATTTTCAGCCAAGTGGCGCCTTTTTGGAAACTTTATATATATATATATATATATATATATATATATATATAAAGTTTCCAAAAAGGCGCCACTTGGCTGAAAAATATATATATATATATATATATATATATATATATATATATATATATATATATATATATATATATATATATATATATATATATATATATATATATATATATAATACATGTATATAGAACGTGCTAAAAATTCGGCGCCTTTTTTTGCTCATTTCGCTCCCCCTACAACGAAAACCTGGATACGCCTCTGCTATTAAGCCACTAGATTTATACCCGATGTGTAGACTTATTAATAGCAGCCTGTATTCATAACCTAATCAAGTTTACTCCAGCGTTCTAGACGATATTAACCGATCTTTTTTTTACATAGACAAGAAAGAAGAGGAAGATAAACTGTATTTTCTATATAAATTATATTTTTTCTGTTACCGTCCGATGGGCGAGGCTTTATAAAACACGAAAACCACAGTATACGCCAAAATCAAGAGTTCATTAATGAAAATAATATGTACATCATCAATTTGCTGTTGCTGATCTCCAGAACCTAATCACTAATTAGAATGGCTAATGGACCATTGCCGTTTTAGCACATGTCAAGCAAAATTTCTTCCTGACGTGTACCGGCCCCCCCCCCCCCCCCCACTTGAACGAAATATAATTTATACCGAAAATATAAACTTTTACCAGTGTTCGCCCCCCCCCCCCAAATTTTTTTTTAGTTTTCGCCCCCACCCAAAAAAAAAATCCCATTTTAAATGCCTACCCCCCCCCCCCCCCACCACGAGAAAAAAGTCTGGAAGTAACACTGAGGTCAATGCCGTTAAAACATCTAGCCCGACCAGTCAACATCTATCAAGTGGCTAAATGAATGGCTAAAGTCTAAATGGAAATATTCAAATCTAAAAATTCCATTAATCTTGTATTCGTTTTATTAGTCCAGTCGTGAAATATAAATGCATTTTTAAAAGTAACAATGTGTGTATCATTATTTTTCATTAATGCGTATCTAGGCCTACATGTATATCTTTCACGGCAGTGAAGTGCACCTTTAAATCTGACGACGTTATTTCATGTAAGTTGTTTCCTAAATAAAATGTTACCCTTCTGCCCTTACCTTTCCATTAAAAATCGTGGTATTTCTTTTAACATCTACAGTCAATGCAGGTAACTGTGGGGGTAGTGGGGTTTCTCTGGCCAGGCACATTTGTGGCGGTCTCCACTGGATCAACTCCAACCAGAGATTGTTGTATGAACAACGCTGTAGAGGTATTTTTAAAATTTAATTTTAGTTCAAACTATTATAGTTATACTTGTTGATTATTTTTTTTCTTTTTGTTTATCCATGTGCTTATTACGTGTTATTATACTTGATTTATATTCCACAAAAGGTAACGTATTTATTCTTTTCATTCCGTTTATTTCTATGGAGGAAACAGCTAAATATATTTGTTTTTATCCAATAGACTAAATGTCGATAAAATTGACTTATATAGATCGTTCTACTATTAAATAGTCCAGTCTCTAAGATTGGTAATGAATGCAGTATAATCTAAATTGCCATTAGTGCTATCCCGAGCGGATAAGGCTCGATAGCAGAGAGACAGTAGCTCTTCTAGGAGAGGCATTCAAAAATAAAAGAACTGCTGCCTTGTAGTTTGTTATTGGTTAAACAACGAAGAAGCAAATTCAAAAAGAAAAGCTGGATGAGATCGGAGTCTATCTGCATAAATGGCGCATAATAAGTTGACACGTGTACTCAATTGTGTTGGAGGGAATCTCTTCCAACATTATAGTTAAGTACGAAGAAGAAGATTAGTGCTGCAGCCTACTTTTTTCTAGCTTTTATAATTGAAATCATGTATTATCCCAGTCTTAATTACCCGATATTATTCAATGTGTATTGAAGACTGCCATGGTTATCATTTACTTATTTACTTGTGCCGTATATAGATCTATATCAATAATATGTACATCTAAATATTTAGATGTACATATTGAAATAGATCTAGTCTTGTCAATACATTTTCTTACTTGATTAGTACACTGTGATTGAGGGCCTAATGTTTATTGGCTACCCAGTCTATTCATGTAATTTTATAAGGTTGTAATATTTAGTGTAATGTTGGCTAGTATTTAGCTACTCAGTGCCGGCGCGAGGTTATTAACCGCCCTAGGCAAAACTTATTAAAAGCACCCCACACCGCAATTTTTTTTCGTGTCCCCGTATTATCAGAGGCGTAGCGACCCTTCCCTGTGCCCGGGGACAAACTTTCGATTTGCACCCCCCTTCAAACTTTCAATATGCAACCCCTCCCCCTCTCAAACTTTCAATTTATTTTTCCAACCCATTTTTGCGCCCGCCTACGGACAGCTCCCAAGGCGACCGCCTTATAGGTAGCGCCGGCCCTGCAGCTGCTTCACATTCCTATTCGTTATCTACTTCAAAGCTACATCCTAGCCATATTATACCTGTACCTCAACCTGTGTAACAGACGGGGGGTGGCTGTGTTTGGTCGCGTTAAAATAAGTTCTCGGTCATGCGCACAATAGTGTGCCAGTGTTGACATTGAGTATTGGTCCGTAAGTGCACTAAACCTCACTTCATAACTCCACACAGGCAGTGTTAGGTATAAACTACCCATATTGCAATAATATGTTAATTGTAAAAAAAATGTGAAAAGAAGACAAACTTTTAAATCGTAAGATATAATAGTTAACTAATTTGTCTCTCGTGAAATTACCTTAAACAATGCAGTTTATACATGTATGTGAGCGGCTGGAGTGTGTTTATCTGTTATTATAATTATTTGTAACTAAGAAGGCGAATGTCGCTTTTTGTGTTCCTTTTAGGATTGTTGTGGTTTTTAGTTAAGTAGTCCGCTATTATGGCGCTGATATGATTTTGATTTTACAATGGTTTGTAGCCTGGTTATTGTGTCTTGTTTATATTTTAATGTTATTATTTATGCAAACTTTGTTTTGGATTGTTGCTCCACTTTGCTTTATGTCCTGAATGTTACTTATTATTGTATTAGGGACTATTTTCTTGTGCGTAGCATTGATTTCTTTGTTCGTAGGCCTAGTATTGGTTTCTTTGTTCGTGAATGTGGTGTGTCGACATGGAGAGACATTCTGCTGGAATGTCGAGGCCTGTGTGTTGAAGAGTTTCTGTGTCACGTTTATGTGGTGTATGGTAACGTAGGGTTATTTTTATAGTGTTTTATTATGTTTTCCATATTTTTGTTTGCTTATTTTGTATACAAAGTGACTATATACTAGATCTATTTAGTCTTGACTTTGAGAAGTTTCAATGTTTGTTTTATCCAGACCACGTGGTAGCACGATGGCCTGGGTTTAGTCATGGATTATTGTAGATTTTACTTTCTTTTGAGAGCCTCTTCTTTAGGCTGACAATTGTGTCAGCTTACTGTCTTGTGTATAACTTTTAATTGATTTGTCTTATTTTTCCTCTTTCTAGGACGGTGGTCCGAAATTGGGTGTTTTGTTTCGTTGAGTTCTGTTTGTTTTGTACGTCTTGAGTGTTTTGTCTAGATCTAGATTCTGGTTTTTTATAATAACTTTTGGTTCCATATTTATTATTTTGTTAAATAAATTTTATTAACTGTAAAAGCTTGTTTTATTTTAGTAACTTATTATTTAGACTAAGGTTAGGGTTTAACCACTGTGGGTTCTACCACGGTTGCACTGACCGGACAGATTAGTAAGTTAAGCCTAGGGAAGGGTAGATAGATTTTAAGGTATCCCCCCCTAGCAGGGCTTACATGTACATGTAGATACTAAAAAAATAGTTTCAACTTAGAGCAGTCAAGGATAAAAGCATGAGCTATGAAGAATAATCGAGATTTATTATTTAAAATTGAACACAAAATTATTGAACAAAAACGAGTAACTACCTGGAATACATCTTGAACTTCTAGTAGCCCGACCCCGGCATTTTTATGTTCATATGTTTCTATTGTGAAGTCCATATCATAAGAAACCTTGTGATTAGAACACGAATCGAATGAACACATGTGTGTTGTGTTAGTACATACGCCGTGCTTAAATTGGTCATTCCTGCTTGCTGAAATGGAATGTAATAATTAAAATATGGGTAGAAAAATAAAAACTGTGGGAAAAATGTGTGTGTTCGCAGTGAATATATAGGTTAATATATTATAAATTCTATAGGCCTACTCATAAAGGTTGAATATCTTATATATATATATAAATATATATATATATATATATATATATATATATATATATATATATATATATATATATATATATATGTTCATATATCTACATACGTATTTAACCCATATATATAATATATATGTGTGTGTATGCATATGTATATATATGTATATTATGCATATATATATATATATATATATATATATATATATATATATATATATATATATATATATAGGATGTATATACACATGCACATAGCTATACGTATATGTGTCTGTCAATATATAGGTCTATAGCCAACATGCATTAAAAACGAACAATGATTTATAACGTACCTTGAGACGCATGAACTGCCACACAAATCCAGCATTCCAATGAAATAATCATTGCAATGATAAAATGCTTGAGATAACTCATATCCCCCTTTGATGATTTACAATGATTCGAGCTTTTTTTTTTTCATCAGTAAGATGGCATCCTTCTCAGTTTTTTGAAAACGTATTAGTCTAATACTGCATAATGAAATAGATAGCTAATAATCAGTAAAATATTGGTAATTAATCTACAATTACCAGTCCTTGTAGCTACTAACATTATTGCCCTGGTAACCCCCGTGTTTTGCTTTACTAATTAAATTAGCATTTGTCAAGAAGCTAAAAATAGTTTTTGGGGGAAAGCTCGGAGAAGCGACCTACATAATCCAGGATGTTCCTACGTATCCAACACACACCACACTACACACTTTCCGTAACTCTCACTCATACTCAGTCATCGTTTATTTTTTCAAGTATTCAAATGAATGTGTGTTATACAACAGTTAATGAATTAATGACTATTAAGTATTGCACATCCTATCAATCGAGTGTTATTCTCAGAACAGTTATCATCAAACCAGATTAAGTTCTGTTTGTTAGCCGGTCTTCTCACTTTAATACAATGTCTATCCCTACTTAAATTGTAGCTTACACACGTTTACACAAGCGAAAACCACAAGAATAGAGCAAATTGCCAAAAGCGTTGGGCTAAAGATAAACTCCGGAAAAACCAAGCTAATGAAAATAAAAACCAAAAGTGCTCTCAAGACCTTTGCGAATGGAGTAGAGCTAGAAGAGGTCGAAGACTTTAAGTACCTCGGCAGCTATATATCAGCAAATGGCAGCATGGAGAAAGAAATTGCCACCAGAATAGCAATGGCAGCACAAGCTTTCAACAGACTCGCCAAGATCTGGAAATCATCCTCACTGCAGCAGAGAACTAAAATAAGGATCTATAAGTCAAATGTACGTTCTGTACTCCTCTATGCTGCAGTCATGGAAACTAAACAAGAAAGGAGAGAGCCGACTTAGAGGCTTTGAAAGAAGATCCCTCCAACGCATCCTCAGGATAAAGTGGGACGACAAAGTCCCGAACAAGGAAATATGGCGAAGGACAGGATTAAACGACATTGTCTCAGAAGTTCGAACGAGGAGATGGAGATGGCTGGGCAATGTCCTACGCATGAGCAAAAAAAGACTCCCCAACATGGCGCTGAAGTGGAACCCACCCGGAAAGAGAAATAGAGGAAGACCACTGGGAACATGGAGGAGGGAGATCGAAGTAGAAGTACAGGCTACTGGCAAAACCTGGCATGAACTAAAGTGGCTCGCCCAGGACAGGGCGGAATGGCGGAGATTTGTTGCTGCCCTATACTCCACAGGGAGTGATGAGGATTAAGTAAGTAAGTAAGTATACAAGTTTATTGCCGTTTGATAATAGCCTACTACACAACACTGGGTAAAGCGCATGAAGGTAGACACGCCCCCTCCCATAACACACCTCTGGATAGTGCATCAAGAGCCGATGAGTTATAAATAACCAATGTTCATTCAACCGCGAATAACACATCCGTGTAGATAGGGTCAATTACAAGGCCTAAGTGAATGCTTATCCCATCTAGTATTTACATTCGTTGCTAGAAAACCCTATACGGAGAGATGGGCAAACACATTAACAC